AATCGCACGAAATATTGCAAATACAATCAAAGGGAGACAACTCATGGTGGCCAATGACTACTTTATCAGGCCAACACATTGCAGTTGAATTTTTAAATTACAATTTAAAAAATTTGAATACCGGAAGTTTTCAATTTCAAATCATAAACCATTATTCTCTGTGTAATTTGAAAATATATAAAAATAATACGTCAATATATCATAAATGACGCAGCTATATATACTCCATTGGCTTAAACTGATTTTTTTTCCCACTGGAGTACAATATGAGTTTGCAAGGTACTTGTGACATCGCCTTGTCATGCCTTCTGGTTGTGAAATAGATGTACCAACACAACTCGTCTTTTCATTTGTCAGTTTCATGTGAAATTGATCCGGGGTGAAGTACAGCATATCTTTATTCCCTGACATAATGTGAATATGTGGCATTGCAGTCGTTCCAAAAACCTATCGTATTTCCACCCTAACGATGAAATTGGAAATGATATAATCACCTGTCACCAACGCGCGAATATGATACTACGGTAACTGTCAATCAAAGTTGGTTTTAACACTTGAGCGCGTCAAAATGTGCAGAGCGTTTGAAAATATGACAAATGATGAGTGATATGTATTTCTCATGCGTTGCAACATAATCCAGTGAGGGTGTTAACCGGGTAGCATGTCTGACGTCACACGAATTATATTATATGATATCAGTAAATGTAAATTATACGTTAAATAAGTTAAATATATGATGAGTTTTAAGAGAAGGACGTGGGTACATGTCATAGAAATTCGAATGTACGCATATTTTGATTTAGCTAAGCCAGGCTTACTGGTGTGTTTAATTTTTGCACTGCTTCTCTGGGTAACCCATCTGGACCCTCACAACACATGTTGCTTAAGAAGCACGTGAAATGTACTCGCTGTTCACACCTGTTAAAACTTCAGTCAATGTTTAGTGTTGATGGTTTTCATTGTGATGTATGTCATGATGTTTTGATATTTTAGGAACATGTTTCATGACTACAGAATATCGTGATATTAATGTTTGCATCCCAATTAGGTCATTGTTGAAAGTGCTATTATTAAGAACGTATATTTCATAAACATCAGCTCGTGTAATACATTTCTTGGGGGAACATGTTGTTTTAATAATTTACTGAAATGATTCAGAAGGATTTCCTGTTGCGATTCAGTTTATTTCTGTTAAAACGTGCGATTCACGTCAGACAATTATGACATTGTATTCCTCAAGTATGCTTTGGATTCAAAGATTAAACAAACCAAAGCAAAATATTCTGCATGACAAATCTTGTGGATGAAATGCTATCAGATATATTTTAACAACCAAATAGTAATACACTATTATACGTTTACATCATACTTCAACAATATTTATTCGTATGCATCATAATAATTACAGTTCAGAAGTCTGAGGTTTTGATTAAAATTATATCATTCCATCTCTTTAAACTATCAGACTTGTACTCTTTAATTTTATCATATAGAGACAAAAGGAAAACTGAAAGGTATTCCTGTGAAATGGCCAATATTTCTAGAGAAGTGACCTGGCTCCATTGATGTTTCTGCATTTCCATGAGTTTATATCTCGTCTTTTTTAATTTAAAACACAACACATTTGCATTTATCAATACATCAACATTGTTTGTTAAAACGACTCAATCAAAATCATATACTAAGACTGAACAACTGTGTTTCTGTGACTGGGTATGGGTATGGTCAAAGGGAGGTAACTCTCACAAGAGTCATTTCGGCAGTAATTTGTGTGGTCATTTATGAATGCCAAATGACCAAATTTCCTCCAATCAGGAACAACTGTAACTAATGATGTCCAGCCTGAATTGTATGGCGTCAAATGAAAGAAAACCGGTCTATGGCCTGTTTGTGTGATAATGCGTTCCACCATGTTTTCGAAGCGTCTTAAAATACCCGATTAGTCATCGCTCAGTTTCAGTGTCACACGTTTGTGACTAATCACTGTGACGCAGCATGACAACACCTGTGTAATGGATCGTGTGCGTACTGTCATTGAATACTGTGTACATCAATGATTAACGTTGTACTCATCATAAAATACCTATTGCAAGTCACGACATTGCAATTCATACTCTTTTGATATTACAGTAAGTTAATATAAGGCGGACTTGGCCTTGGTGTAATGACATGCATTAGCAAGTTTAATTCAGTTTTTAACTCAGAAATTTGGTAATGCACATATACCTACAACTTAATAATTACCCTAATTACAATGAAACAAAGTCTCAATCTTAACCTAAGCCAGCAGTTTAAGCAAGAATTCTTCAACAACCCATGTTTGACGTAACACGCGACTAACGGGATCGGGTGGTCAGGCTCACTTACTTGGTTGATGCATGTGATGGTATCCCAGTTACGAGGATCAATGCTCCTAGTACCAATCACTAAATTTTCTGGTCCAGAAAGGTTTACAAAAAGAATTTTGATAAATTTGTAATCTTAAACTGTCATAATAGTTATCAAGTTTTTTCCCCTCATTTATAATTGTATAGACCCCAATGCCACAAAATCTAAATTTCAAGTACATGTACACAAGACTGATTCAAAATATAGGTCCCCTACAACCTATGCTTTTGTCAGAATTGACAAAGTGTCGTGACTTCACAGTGACATGGATCAAAGTTCATGATGTCAGTCACTGGATTGTCTGGTCTAGAACTGTGTGAGTGAGTGAGTGAGTTTAGTTTTACGCCGCACTCTGCAATATTCCAGCGGCGGTCTGTAAATAATGGAGTCTGGATCAGACAATCCAGTGATCAACATCATGAGCATCGATCTGCGCAATTGGGAACCGATGACATGTGTCAACCAAGTCAGCGAGCCTGACCACCCGATCCCGTTAGTCGCCTCTTACGACAAGCATAGTCGCCTTTTGTGGCAAGCATGGGTTGCTGAAGACCTATTCTACCCCGAATCTTTACGGGTCTCTAGAACTGTGTACTGATCTACGTCGATTATCTGATTTGCTGAGTGTGGTGTTATACAACAAACAAGCCACATGGTACAACATGGCCGCGACAGACAATGGGTACCAGGCTGTCGAGCTTCGTCACTGACACATTTCATGCTGAAGTGTTCTTATCGACTCCCTCCTGATAGCAGTAAACATAAGCTACGATACAGATAGATGTTTTTTGCATCGACACATTCACATTTACTTATTTTCCAAGCCTTTTTGATCTAAAAACGACTCCATGTTTGGGCCTTTATGTAAACATGGTATCGTGATATTTGTGGTCTCAGACCGGATATCAATTAGAGGTGGTCTTCTAATAAATAAAGGTCTGTGCAACGCTGAACAACACTGTATTTATTCTGAATACTGAACCCTGAAAATACGAAACCATGGTTCAAGATACTGGCTCGGTTTTGAAAATCAGCTGTCGAACATTGTACCGTTGTATTTATGATAAGTGAATGAGTGAGTGAGTGAGTGAGAGAGAGTGAATGATTATGGTTTTACACTGCTTTTAGCAATATTGCAGCAATATCACGGCGGGGGACACCAGAAATTGGCTTCACACATTGTACCCATGTGGGGAATCGAACCCGGGTCTTCGGCGTGACGAGCAAACGCTTACCACTAGGCTACCCCACCGCCCCTTATGATAACTGAATGTCAACGGCTGGTCAAGATGTCCTCCAAGGGAAAGACAAATGAAAATGAAAACGGCTGTACAGATCTGATAAGATTATCTGAGATGATATGAGGCTATTTAAAGGTGGAATGATTCTGTGATCACAGTGATGCGTAATCAAATCCGATGACAATCGGACAGTTCGTGTCAAGTCGGTGAAAAACTACATATAGGTGGGTCAATTTTGAAAATGTTCCTCAAGGAGAATTCTTCTAGACTATTTATGTCATGCAACAAACATTTCTGATACTGAAACAAATCAAATGCATTCTTTTGCATGTGTTTGAGGTTATCATACTTTTGGTCAAAGCTTCACTGGATTATCATATCCCCTGCTATCTGCAGGACGTATACTATTTTTTCTGATTGGAAGTAGAAGTTAAACAATAGCATGCTATACTTTATTAGTGTGTTAATATCTTCACCATACCGTCACAGCAATATTCATATACTGATTCACGGATCCTCCGCTAGGTGGAATCCTATGAGGGATTCGAACCCTAACTCTCAGAGTCAGGCACCTAATCGCCAGCACACAAAGTAAGCGAACTAACCCACTCGACCATCGCGGCATCCACTAACCCACTCGGCCACCGTGGCTTCCATTAAGTCTACCAAGTCTGTCGGACGAAGAACGAAGGGAACCAGTCTACAGTGTTCGTTATATGATTACTAAATATGGCTCCACATGCCTCAACTGCAGTGTCACGTGATCAATACCGCAACAAACACATGTTTGTGTCTGGAATCGGTCATATCGTGACAACATCTCGAAACAGAACACAAATGAAAGCATGCATGTTTTCTCACTTGAGTGTAATTGTAACTGGCAAAGGTAGCAGTATCTGTATCACACTGTTGAATGCCTCTGATAAAAAAATCAACAAAACAAACAAACAAAAATTATAAATATATGTCCATGTGAATTTTGAATGATCATTTTAATATATTTTCTTTATGTTATTACACAGAAGATAAACTGATAAAATACATTTTATTTATTGTTCATGAAATGGTAATATTCAGATTTAAAAGAAATACATCTGTAAACTGAAATATATTTCCTTCCTCTTTCATCTTTGAGCATTCCGGTTTTAAGTGACAACCTGAGAGGGACTACGCTGGATTGATATATAATTTTAAATTTAATTTGTAATGTTTATATGTCTATTGAACTTGATAAGGAGAACCGTATATGTTAGCACTTATCAGTGTTCATTCTTGGTCCGTTTTCTTATCATTTCGACCATCACGCAATTTATTACGTTTCGCATTTTTCAGTTCGCCTTTTGTACACTTCACAATGTCATGTGATACAATATGGCCACCAAGTGTTTTGATTTGGGTGTTGACGAAGTACGATGACGGCTTATGACAGACCGCTCCCGACTGATACGGGTCAAAGATTTGCCATGCTTGGTCAACAACATCGGAGAATATCAGACGACGTAGCGTCACTAGATTCATGGACAGATGCCCTGAATTTGTCTTCATCAGTAGAAAGATCAGACGAAAGCCGGCTTTCAGGAAGTGGCAAAGCCCCTCATGTTGTGAACGTTGATCCATACAGACAGTTTGACCACCACAAGGACAGGGGTCCATCGGTTATATCAAGTACCAATATTCAGTGTGACGTAGCCGATGGTGCTGGTCCTATTACGCGAAGACATTATGGCAGGCAAGAGAGTGGAGGTCAACGCGTTCACATAAATCAGAATCCAATGAGGTATTCCAACCACCCCCGGACCAGTTTTGTGAAACCTGATGTACCCCACTCTAGAGGGGTAGCATCGTGGTTCAATAATATCGCACAGTCAAGTTCACAGTCACCAAATATCCAACAATATACTAGTAGACCTCATGCTTTGAGCGCTAGTGCTTACGATGAAAGAAATTTCAACAATTTTGGCATATCTGCCCAGTCACGTTTAGGTTTACCACAAACTAGTATAACCAATGTTCAACCAACTGATGTTTCTAGTAGTAGCCAAGGTCACCAGCAAGGAAGAAGAGGCAGCAGTGGTGGGGAGTTCGGATCTGAAAATTTGGTGGATCAGTTGGACAGAGAAGGAGAAAAATTAAAGACAAAATTTATGTCAGCTTGGAATAATGTGAAATACGGTATGACTAGTTACAGTCAGTATATTTAGTGCTAATAGTGTTCACTTGTCATGCTAAATGCCTGTGCTTTGATTCCCAACTTGGCTTCAATATGTGAAGTCCTTTTCTGGTGTCCACCCACTGTGATATTGTTTGAATACCGCTAAAAGCAACATACAACCCAACTCGCTAAAATCTGCAAATTCTATTAGTAAGCAGGCTTGGAACTGCAAATACAAAATGCTGTCATCACCATGCTCATGTTCTCAAAGGAGTTTGATAAGACGTTTGGTGTTTCCAGATTTTTTAAAGGGGGAGCTAACTCATAGAGCTATGAAAGTCATGGTTTGACGTTAGTCATAGTTCTCATTTGAAACAAGCAAATGACGATGTATGAACACAAACATGTGAAAGTTGGTACTTTCAGTATGATGAAACATTCTTCTCTGAAGTATAGTGATCATGGTGATGTAACAAAAGGCATTATTCTAATCTGAATTGTGGACTAGATGGAACACATGTATCTAGCCCTTGCTAATATGATGTAGTTTATCATGTTTATTGTATAGAACAAGTATTTCATGCATTGTGATCATTAAGTCATCATTGTTATCATTATTTTCATCATGATCTGAAGCATGAGAAGGAGCATGTAACATGTTGAAGCAGTGTTAAAATTTGAAATGAAGTAAATCGACTAAAACACTCTTATTTTGGAGCAATCTAACCTGTAGGGACTCTTTCTTTAAGTAGCATTTAGAAGCTGGTATGGTGAAGTGGAAGTTTTGATGGATGTGACGTTTCAGTTTTGATGCTAACACCGTTAGATAAAAAGCACGAACAAAGTGTGAATGATCATTTCAATCACTGTTATCGTGTATGGTTATCTCAACGTTTTCTCACACAAGTGCAAAAATCATCATATGATCACATGTCTGGAAAACTAATTTCAAATACACATCATGTATGATACATATATTTAAAATTCTTCCTGTTAACTTGATGACTTGGCTCATTCAAATTATTTGGAATTTTGCCAGTGGAGTATTGCAAATTGCTAAAGGATCACATGTATCTCATGTGTTTATATGGTGTATAGAAAAAAATAATTAACAATGCTCAGTTATTTGTCTTCTGATAAGGTGATGTTGATGTTTTAGTTCTAATTCTACTTCCCTTATCAATTCATTTACATAAACAATTTTATATATGGGACTATAACAAAACATGTCCAGAGCCTCACATGGTAAATATTTCAGTCACTTAGCAACGTCAGTTAATGATGAAGTTCTCTTTAGCTTAATATTAGTATGGCTAGCCACTTAACAACATCACCTTGTTTACAGAGGTAAACATCTAAATAATCATCCCCACATTTTGTGTGGTTCAGGCTGTGTGGTCTGTGCCATTAGTCTCAAATCCCAGATAGGGTATGACCCCCCAAAATGCTGGTATTTGCACTTTACTGAGAAAGTTTAATTCCAAATATAACATGTTACTTCTTCATCTTATTAAAACAATAGTTATCATCTAAAAAGTACATGTCACTGTGATGTTTGTGAGTGCATATTATGATTACAGTTGTAGATGCACATCATGATTACAGTTGTAGATGCACATCATGATTACAGTTGTAGATGCACATCATGATTAGAGTTGTAGATGCACATCATGATTATGGAGTTGTAGATGCACATCATGATTATGGTTGTAGATGCACATCATGATTATAGGTTGTAGATGCACATCATGATTATGGTTGTAGATGCACATCATGATTACAGGTGTAGATGCACATCATGATTATGTAGTTGTAGGTGCACATCATGATTATGTTGTTTGTAATGCATAACATGATTATGGATCATGATTATGGTAGATGCATCTTATGGTTGTAGATTATTTTTGTAGATGCACATCATGATTATGGATACAGATCATGATTACATCTTGATTATGGTTGTAGATGCACATCATGATTATGGTTGTAGATGCACATCATGATTATGGTTGTAGATGCACATCATGATTATGGTTGTAGATGCACATCATGATTATGGTTGTAGATGCACATCATGATTATGGTTGTAGATGCATCATGATTATGGTTATAGATGCACATCATGATTATGGTTGTAGATGCACATCATGATTATGGTTGTAGATGCACATCATGATTATGGTTGTAGATGCACATCATGATTATGGTTGTAGATGCATCATGATTATGGTTGTAGATGCAGCTGTAGATCATCATGATTATGGATGCACATCATGATTATGGTTGTAGATGCACATCATGATTATGGTTGTAGATGCACATCATGATTATGGTTGTAGATGCACATCATGATTATGGTTGTAGATGCACATCATGATTATGGTTGTAGATGCACATCATGATTACAGTTGTAGATTGCACATCATGATTGCACAGTGATTATGGTTGTAGATGCACATCATGATTATGGTTGTAGATGCACATCATGATTATGGTTGTAGATGCACATCATGATTATGGTTGTAGTTGCACATCATGAGGTTGTAGATGCACATCATGATTATGGTTGTAGATGCACATGCACATCATGATTATGGTTGTAGATGCACATCATGATTATGGTTGTAGATGCACATCATGATTACAGTTGTAGATGCACATCATGATTATGGTTGTAGATGCACATCATGATTATGGTTGTAGATGCACATCATGATTATGGTTGTAGATGCATGCGCACATGATTATTTGATTAGATGACATCATGATTAGATGCACATCATGATTATGGTTGTAGATGCACATCATGATTATGGTTGTAGATGCACATCATGATTATGGTTGTAGATGCACATCATGATTATGGTTGTAGATGCACATCATACATCATGATTAGATGCATCATTATAGATGCACATCATGATTATGGTTGTAGATGCACATCATGATTATGGTTGTAGATGCACATCATGATTACAGTTGTAGATGCACATCATGATTATTATCAGATTATGGTTAGATGCACATCATGATTATGGTTGTAGATGCACATCATGATTATGGTTGTAGATGCACATCATGATTATGGTTGTAGATGCACATCATGATTATGGTTGTAGATGCACATCATGATTATGGTTGTAGATGCACATCATGATTATGGTTGTAGATGCACATCATGATTATGGTTGTAGATGCACATCATGATTATGGTTGTAGATGCACATCATGATTATGGTTGTAGATGCACATCATGATTATGGTTGTAGATGCACATCATGATTATGGTTGTAGATGCACATCATGATTATGGTTGTAGATGCACATCATGATGGTTGTTATGATTATGGTTGTAGAGTTGTAGATGCACATCATGATTATGATGTATGCACATCATGATTATGGTTGTAGATGCACATCATGATTATGGTTGTAGATGCACATCATGATTATGGATGTAGATGCACACAGTTGTAGATGCACATCATGATTATGGTTGTAGATGCACATCATGATTATGGTTGTAGATGCACATCATGATTATGGTTGTAGATGCACATCATGATTATGGTTGTAGATGGATTATGGTTGTAGATGCACATCATGATTATGGTTGTAGATGCACATCATGATTATGGTTGTAGATGCACATCATGATTATGGTTGTAGATGCACATCATGATTATGGTTGTAGATGCACATCATGATTATGGTTGTAGATGCACATCATGATTATGGTTGTAGATGCACATCATGATTTGTTGATAGATGCACATCATGATTATGGTTGTAGATGCACATCATGATTATGGTAGATGCACATCATGATTATGATTATGGTTGTAGATGCACATCATGATTATAGATGCACATCATGATTGTAGATGCACATCATGATTATGGTTGTAGATGCACATCATGATTATGGTTGTAGATGCACATCATGATTAGATGCACATCATGATTATGGTTGTAGATGCACATCATGATTATGGTTGTAGATGCACATCATGATTATGGTTGTAGATGCACATCATGATTATGGTTGTAGATGCACATCATGATTATGGTTGTAGATGCACATCATGATTATTGTAGATGCACATCATATTATGGTTGTAGATGCACATAATGATTATGGTTGTAGATGCACATCATGATTATGGTTGTAGATGCACATCATGATTACAGTTGTAGATGCGCATCGTGATTATAGTTTTTGATGCACGATTGTCTTTGAAGATGCACATCATGATTATGTATAGATGCACGCCATACACATGGTTACTGATGCACATGATTATCTTTGTAGATGCACATCATGCTATGGTTGTACTTGTAGATGCCAACAAAGTCTGGATATAGTAACTGATCCTCAATAACTTATATATGTCATTATCGATGATTATGGTTGTAGATGCACATAATAAATATAACCTGTGAAGATCCAGGTTAGAATTGGTCTTCAGCAACCCATGCTTGTCGTAAGAGGCGACTAGTAACAGGATCTGGTGGACAGACTGGCTGACTTGGTTGATACACGTCATAGTATTGCAAATGTGTAGATCGATGATCATGCTGTTGATCACTGGATTGTCTGGTCCAGACTCGATTATTTACAGACCACCGCCATATAGCTGGAATATTGCCGAGTGCGGTGTTAGAAACAAACCAACCAACCATCATGATTATGTAAAATGCACAACACAATGGATATGTTAACTCATCCTCAATAACTTAAATATGTCATCATCAGTGTTAGTGATTATACAAGGGTTCTGGCACCTTCAGGTTTGTTTTATAGCGTCTGTGTACTGATGTTAGTGATTATACAAGGGTTCTGGCACCTTCAGGTTTGTTTCTATAGCGTCTGTGTACTGATGTTAGTGATTATACAAGGGTTCTGGCACCTTCAGGTTCGTTTCTATAGCGTCTGTGTACTGATGTTAGTGATTATACAAGGGTTCTGGCACCTTCAGGTTTGTTTCTATAGCGTCTGTGTACTGATGTTAGTGATTATACAAGGGTTCTGGCACCTTCAGGTTTGTTTCTATAGCGTCTGTGTACTGATGTTAGTGATTATACAAGGGTTCTGGCACCTTCAGGTTTGTTTCTATAGCGTCTGTGTACTGATTCCACAAACCATTCATTCTTAACATTGACTTCCTTACTTAATGTCAAACACTGTGCTGTATATAGTTTCACTTATCTGTCCTTGTAGGCTGGACCCTCAAGACAAAGACAAACTTCAAGTGTGACAGCCCCATCTTCCTCCTGGGCAAGTGTTATCATCGCAGAGGGGAGGGAACAGGCAGCGGTGGTAGGTCCACTTGGATATAAGTTGTGTAGAAACTTAAAAAAACTATCATGTCAGTTTGTGAATATAATGTGAATATATAATAAATATTGCATGGTATGAATCGAATAAGTTTCAAATATGTTACCTTATAATTTATCTGTACTCATTACTATATTACATGGACTATAGGCCTATGACCTATTTGTATTATGAAGAACCACCTGAGGATGATAACCATTACAGGACTTTACTCAGCAGACTCATAGAAGGACTTTCTTTAAATACTGATTTATCAAGGGACTGTACTGATGTATTTTCATGAAAATATTTGTTTGTGCATTTGAGAAATTATGATATGAGACCAAGTAAAGAATTGTGCAGTGCTTGGTTTGTTTGTCTGAGATGGTTTTATCATTTTGTGACCCAGTTTTAGTTGTCATAAACAGATGTAGGCATTCATAACCCTGTATCCTGTCAATACTGACTGCTTCAGAGGAGGATTGCGTGCAGTATCCAAAAAGTAATATCAAAATCTCCAACATTGAAGAGTTCCACCAAGACTTTTCCAGTCGGATGTGGTTCACCTACAGACGAGAGTTCTCTCCCTTGCCTGGCACCAAGATGACGACAGACTGTGGCTGGGGATGCATGCTGCGGAGTGGACAGATGCTGCTAGCTCAGGGATTAGTCACACATTTCCTGGGCAGGGGTAGGTGCTGCGTGGCGATGCCTGCATCTTCAATGTGTTCAAAATTTCAAAGATTTCTCTGTATAATGTGTGGAGCCGTACCTTGGCATACTGTGTCAAAGTGAAGTGGCAGGGAAGAAAATCTGTTCTCACAGATCAACATCTACTTGAAAATTATTAGGGCCTTTTTTTAAAAGGAACAGTCTGTCGCACAGCTCCTGAACCATACTGTTTTCCCTTCTTCCTAGCCCTACCTATAATACAAAAGGCAGAAATGTAGCAAATCTGAATCAGGTTCAGGTCTAAATCTCACATCTCACTCAGGCTCCTTTTCAACTGAAATGGAGATATTTGTTGATATGAAAATTATATATACTCAGAGACTAACCATTAGTTTAGAAAAAGATGGATGGGTTCTTAGTGAAAGTGAACCAAACGATTTTTTGACAGTTTATGTCAAATATTCCATTTGAATTATCTTCAACTCTTTACTTATGAAGTTACATTTGCTGTTTATTGCGTAAAACATCTGATTGATATTGCTATATTTTTATATGTCTTTTGTACATCTAGGGTCAATATACCATAACAATTGCTGACTAACATGATTAAAGGATGACTCTGCTTATCTAAGCTTACTGATTTCTGTAAGGAGGTATTGTATGGGAATGTCAGTGACGACCCTCCACAATTATTATTCACAATCTCTGTCTTTACAGACTGGCGGGTATATCATGATCCAAAAGCTCAGCAGAAAGCATTTTACAAGGAGATTATACGCTGGTTTTCTGATCAAATGTCGGACCAGATTCCCTTTTCCATCCACAAACTGGTGGATGCTGGACAGAGGCTGGGGAAGTCTCCGGGAGACTGGTATGGCCCATCATCGGTGGCGCTCATACTCAGGTGAGGGCAGGGGATCATGTTGAGCATGTTTACACTTAATAATGGCAACCATTGATGGCTCCTGGCTGCTTGTTATTAAACAACCCATCATTCCGAGCTGATATCCATGATGACCTTTTCTCAACATGCTATCACAATTACTGATCTTTATCATGAAAAGCAGGGGCTGTGAGTGCGTTGTGAGTGCCGATAAAATGGTTTGTTGAAGAAATGTGTTGAAAACAATGGCCAATATAGTGGAGAAATTAGAGTCTGTCTCTTTGACCTGCTTCAGGTCATCGTACTTGTGAGTGAGTGAGTATGGATTTACACTGTGTTTAGCAATATTCCAGCAATATCAAGGCGAGGGACACCAGAAATAGGCTTCACACATTGTGCCCATGTGGGAAATCGAACCTGGGTCGTCGTGGTGATGAGCGAACGCTTTAACCACTAGGCTATCCCATCTCCCCTCATCATATTCGTGAGTGTTATTGGTATTTGTTCATGGACTGTTGCAGAGATGCTCTGATCAAGGCCAGCAGCAGCCTACCAGTCCTCAAGGATGTGTGTGTATATGTAGCACAAGACTGTACAGGTAAGTCACTCTTCATCCTGCTGAGTCAAGGAAGTTTACTTGCTATACACGTCCAGTTTTCCCCTATGGCCAACTAGGCTGGAGTTATGGAGTTGGTTGTGATCTCAAAGTCCAATTCTGCAGCACATTTCTATTATTGAACAACCTGGATTACCGTTAAATTGTTTCGTATAGGAAAAGGAAATTGTTGTTACTTCCTGAAATCTGAAATATTTTAGCACATTTTGGTAACTGACCTTTGTCTCTGAGTGTTGTCTCCTATGTGTACTAATTTGAAATTCAGAAAGATGTGGTCTTTGATTTAGCAGTCTGTTTCTGTTTTGGCCAAATGTTTCGAGGCAGTGTCAGTAATTAAACTGTTTACTGTGGGTGTTTACTGTCTTTCGATACATCTGTCAGCAGAAGTTACTGGAGTTGTTTGATTTCTCTTAATGGCAACAACTCTTCTAAATGAATATTGGCTGTAGACTCCTTTGGATATTGGAACTTAATAAACTGACTTAATTCATTGACGTTGTTGCCATGAGCCTTTCTGCAAGTGGACATCTATATACAAGTGTTGTTGCCATGAGCCTTTCTGCAAGTGGACATCTATATGCAAGTGTTGTTGCCATGAGCCTTTCTGCAAGTGGACCTCTATATGCAAGTGTTGTTGCCATGAGCCTTTCTGCAAGTGGACATCTATATGCAAGTGTTGTTGCCATGAGCCTTTCTGCAAGTGGACATCTATATGCAAGTGTTGTTGCCATGAGCCTTTCTGCAAGTGGACCTCTATATACAAGTGTTGTTGCCATGAGCCTTTCTGCAAGTGGACCTCTATATGCAAGTGTGTTGCCATGAGCCTTTCTATATACAAGTGTTGTTGCCATGAGCCTTTCTGCAAGTGGACCTCTATATACAAGTGTTGTTGCCATGAGCCTTTCTGCAAGTGCAAGTGGACCTCTATATACAAGTGTTGTTGCCATGAGCCTTTCTGCAAGTGGACCTCTATATGCAAGTGTTGTTGCCATGAGCCTTTCTGCAAGTGGACCTCTATATACAAGTGTTGTTGCCATGAGCCTTTCTGCAAGTGGACCTCTATATGCAAGTGTTGTTGCCATGAGCCTTTCTGCAAGTGGACCTCTATATGCAAGTGTTGTTGCCATGAGCCTTTCTGCAAGTGGACCTCTATATACAAGTGTTGTTGCCATGAGCCTTTCTGCAAGTGGACCTCTATATACAAGTGTTGTTGCCATGAGCCTTTCTGCAAGTGGACCTCTATATGCAAGTGTTGTTGCCATGAGCCTTTCTGCAAGTGGACCTCTATATACAAGTGTTGTTGCCATGAGCCTTTCTGGAAGTTGATGTACAAGTGTTGTTGCCATGAGCCTTTCTGCAAGTGGACCTCTATATACAAGTGTTGTTGCCATGAGCCTTTCTGCAAGTGGACCTCTATATACAAGTGTTGTTGCCATGAGCCTTTCTGCAAGTGGACCTCTATATACAAGTGTTGTTGCCACTACAAGTGGGCCTTGATGTACAAGTGTTGTGGCCACTACAAGTGGACCTTGATGTACAAGTGTTGTTGCCACTACAAGTGGGCCGTGATGTACAAGTGTTGTTGCCATGGACTTTCTCTGCGGTGATAATGCACATGGTTATTGATGATATCAGTTAATGGAGCTGAAACAAAAGTAGTCACATTAGCTGATTATTATCTGTAATTGATGCAATTAGAAACATTTGTCCTCCATTTCAGTGTACAAACAAGACGTCATTGACCTCTGTCTCACTCGCCCCAAGTCCAGCAGTCAGCTCAGCACATGTGAGGAGGAGGAGGAGGAAGAGAAGGCAGGGAGGGAGACTACCACAGAGGATGGAGAGTGGAAGAGGGCAGTCATCATCTTCATCCCCATGCGTCTGGGTGGCGAGAGCCTTAACCCAATTTACATTCCCTGTGTGAAGAACCTTCTCGCCCATGATAACTGTATTGGCATCATTGGCGGTAAGCCCAAGCACTCCTTGTACTTTGTGGGCTGGCAGGAGGACAAGCTCATCAACCTTGATCCCCATTATTGCCAGGATGTTGTGGATACATCCACCCAGAATTTCCCTGTTCAGGTGAGTACTGTGGGGAATGTGGGTAGAAGGTAGGAATGGGTAGTTTTATTATAGCATTGCTGTATCGGTATCTACCTTTCTGAAGGTACATGACATCGCTGAAACATGTATAATCATGATAATGTCTACTACAGAGGCCTCACGATACTATACTTATCTCAATACTGAGGTGTATCACGATATGTATCGTGGGTATCGTGATATCGATATGTATCGTGATACTGCATTTGTGACATTTTGCGCGTAACAAGCAGCCATTACTGGATGGCAAGCTCATACCATAACTCACCAGTCACCAAATATTTTGGTAGAGATTACGAGAAAAGGGAAGACCGAGTACCACACTCACCAAGTCTAGTCATATCTGATGTTCTGTATAACAAAATTACTAGAGAAAAATGTGAAAAGTTCACTGTTAATTATGTCTGGTTTGTATTTATCAAAAAATGTTTTATGTGAAGTATTGGTGCAATATTAAAATAATAATTGAAATATGTCAGAATATGAATCGATACTAAAACAAATGAATCATGTATCATATTGTGCACAGCATGCCTGATGCATTGGTGAATCGTGACATCACTAATGTCTACCGTTCAGATTTGTGTTGTCAGTCTCTCATTATCATTCATAGCTAGGTTATGTCAAATGCAGTGAACTGTCAAGACTAGTGCACTAACGGTACACACTGACATTCATGTATATGCGTGGGAGCATGTTCTAGTCCGGACTTATGATGATTTCAGAAAGTTAGCCCACTGAGATACCATGTGGGAGTTTAACATGGATACCCCACTCAGACATATTAATTTGACTTGGAGTGGACCAGATATTGTTTTATCACCTTACTGCTGAACACTAAGGCAGGGATCAAACAGCAGACCTTCTTCCCTGCAGAGTCAGTCCTGAAATCATTGAATTTAATTAAACAGAAACCAGCATCGCTAAAATACTACCGTTTATGATATACACAACCTGAGGTGTAAGGCTTTAACATTTCAAGGGAAATAACTCTTTGCAGACTAAGATAACAAGAGGTTTAGATCAGATGCCTTGGATAGTGTTGGAAACTGAACATTGTTTCTTGGTGGTGACATTTTCCTTACAAGTTGATGCTTGCTTCATTGTACTGATATATTTTATTTTCAGTCTTTCCATTGTGTCTCACCGAGGAAATTGTCTTTCACGAAGATGGACCCAAGCTGTACTGTAGGATTCTACATCAAGACTAAGGCAGAGTTTGACAAGTTTGTCAAGTCAGTCAGTGGGGTAGGTATCACACTGTAGCAATGTAGTGATTATGGTGATGTTTGTAAGATAATCTTCTGGTGTTTATGGTTGGTATAGATTTAGACATGACTTTTGATGATTAGATATGGTGTCCACTTAGATCTCTGCTGATGTTTATGAGAGAAAAAAATCCAAAACTTTGTTCCTAGGCAGGGTTATAGAAAGCACCTTCTCATTAAAACAGGTTCTAGTGAACAGAGGTACAGATAAACTGCATATCTGCGTAAATTATGCAAATATTTATGTGAAAACTCAATTCCTATTACCCCAGGTAAGTCTAATGCGTACAAGTACACTTGAATTTTTGTAAATACTCAATAAATGTTATCTTACATGTGTACACATAAAATGTCAAATCTTAGCTTGTATACATAAAATAGCTGAGGTATATTGAGAGGTTCTATTTCAGCACATGAACTTGGCAACTTGCAGTCTCTCTTATCGCTTCTAATATTACAGATCAAATATAAATAACAAACACGTAAACCAACGTTTAAATGTTATTATAAATTTACAATTAATGGAAAATGGCAAAATACCCAATTGAGTTTGAGTGAGGTGGGTACAATTCATTTGGTTACTCTAAGGAAAATTAGGATATTCAACTGAGATGAACACAGGCAAGTACATAACTCAATGACCCAAAAAGTTATCTGTAGCTCTGTAGTGAAGATCCGGGTTAGAACTGATCTTCAGTAACTCATGCTTGTCGTAAGAGGCGACTATAGTCTGTTTGCGGTGAAAACGTACCGATGAATTTCACTTTAAACAAAAAAGTAAATCAAATAAAGTGAAATTAAGATTGCGAATTCTCATAATTTTACCTTGCCATTTGAAAATTTAAATCACAGAATTTTATTCAACTTGGGATGAAAGTTGTTTAACAAACCATCATAGTTTCAAATCGGTATTATTGGTTTGTATTACAAGGGGGTATGCACATAAAATGAAACACCGAGATCAAGTAGGGTTGGTCTAAGTTAACGCTCATCACGTACCGCACCTGCATTTGTTTCACTGTTCCAACTACTGCGCTTACCCCCTTGTAATACAAACCAATATAAGCGATTTGAAACTATGAACGTTTGTTAAACAACTTTTTTCATAAGTTGAATAAAATTTTGAGATTTAAATGTTCAATTGGCAAGGTAGAATTATGAGGCCAGGCTCGCTGACTTGGTTGACACATGTCATCGTATCTCAATTGCGTAGATTGATGCTTATGAAGTTGATCACTGGATTATCTGGTCCAGACTTAATTATTTACAGACCGCCCCCATATAGTTGGAATATTGCTGAGTGCGGCGTAAAACTAAACCCACTCACTCACTTATCACAGTGATGAGGAATTGGTATTTGTCATGTTTATTCAAGACACTGCTGTCATTGATCATGTTTATTTGATATTCGGATATCAATGTCAGTGTGATAATACCGGAGTGTCATCTGGGAAATAACGTGTCTTAGTACTCCTCTGTGTGTTACTGAACCCTGCCAGTAGCGTCTTGATGGGGCTTCAGATAGTGATGATGTTATTCATTTTGATACTGAGAACAGTGAAGTTTATGAGGGCTCTGTCCAGATTTATTGACAATCTGAGACAGACACACTTAGAAATGGATTTCACGTAATGTTATGTATCTGCTGACTGTCAAAGAGATGATTGCGGGTTAAGTTGGTTTTATCTGTTCTGAAGGTGGTCACATGTGATGAATGTTTAAGTACCTAGGTGCCCTTGTACCAAACGATGGTAGCGTTATGGTGAGCGATACCTTAACATTGACTTCAGACAGGTTGTTTTGTACCCTGGTACTTGGTAACATTTTACAAAATACTTTGGGAACTTTTGATTTGTTGTTTGTAAAATTAGACTAATTGCAGCCGAGTGCCACATCTTTAAAGAGTTTGAAATATATTCAGTATGTATTACTACTTGACATGTGTTTTGATTAATTAGAAAATTAAACTTGAAAGTCATTAACGAAGCACCTTCAAAAACTGAAATCAATTTACTTTTAGTGTTTTGAATTAGTATTCACCTATTCAATGATATATACTGAAAAAGTCTGTTTCTTTTCTTCCTGATATATAATCTTTAATGTATATGTGTAATTTACATGATTGAGGTATGTCTGACAAGAATCATGACAAGTGTACTTTTGATTTGATGTGAAATCTGTTTCCTGGGGTTTTCATTCATTCCAACATGCCCAAGGACACTGAATCATGCTTGTCATGTGAGTAAAACAATACCTTTGAAATTTGAAAAGAAAGAATTTGTTTATACTGAATTTAGCTGAACTGTTGTATGAGGTAATGATTTGGACTGAATGAACAATAATTAGCTCTGACATTTTTCAAAGTATAGGTTTTTAGCAGACCCGGCACTGTCATGGTACAGCTGAACTGTTGTGTCGTGAAAATCAGGATTGATATGTCGTGTATATCTGTTGACCCACATTTCAGCTTGTGGTAGAATGATTTTATAATCATAAGTGTCTGAAAGACATGATCAGATGTGTGTGTGGGGCGGTGAGGTAGCCTAGTGGTTAAAGCGTTCGCTCCTCACGCCAAAGACATGGGTTTGATTCCCCACATGGTTACAATGTGTGAAGCCCATTTTTGGTGTCCCCCGCCTTGATATTGCAGGAATATTGCTAAAAGTGGCGTAAAACTAAACTCACTCACTATCTCAGATGTGTGCCAAAATTGTTCATACCGGTAGTTTGAAATTGACTACATCATATTGCTAGATACATCCAGTCCACCATGTGGTGACCTGTAAATGAGTTTGAAAAAATGAACAGGGTGGGTGAGACCCAGAGTCATGGACATCATTTATTTCTTGTCGAGTTAAGATGCTGAGATTGCTGAGAGGTTATCCAGAATGATGTGAGGTTAAAGACGAGGTTTATCATCATGAATCATGCTTTTGGGGGTTAAAATGGGAAGATGTATTTTTTTTATTAAGCTTATCATTATGACCATGATGAATGTGGACAGTAAGATGGATCATTTTTTAAAAGTGTTTTTATGCAGTGGCATTTTCAGAGAATTTGAGACATTTGTTTTTGTCACTGTCACACAAAATAGCTTTGAAAAATTACTTTCCGTTTTTCTTGTTGCTGAGAAGCAGTTATTTCCACACCACCATCATACTGCTGGTAGTTGCTGACAGCACAGGCCATCATATATTGGTTCAGTATAAAATAGTTGGTTGGTTTGTTGTTTAACGCTGCACTCAGCAATATTCCAGCAGTATGGCGGCGGTCTGTAAAAATTCAGTCTGGACCAGACAATCCAATGATCAACATCATGAGCATTGTTCTACGCAGTTGGGATGCGATGACATGTGTCAACCAAGTCAGTGAGCCTGACCACCTGATCCCGTTAGTCGCCTCTTTCGACAAGCATGGGTTACTGAAGATCAATTCTGACCCAGATCTTCACAGGCCTCAGTGTAAAATAACATTTCAGGGATTCACCCGGTTACAGCTACCCCCTGCTTTGAAAATCTGGTTTTGAATTTGTCTTCATTAGCCCATGCTTGACTGTGGGGATTGAGTGGTCAGACTCACTGGCCTGCTTGACAGTGTTGTGTTCTCGTCGTGCTATACTGATTGCAGGGTGTTACCTTGACTCACAAACATGGGAGTCCTGGGGACCCCTAATTATTAGATTCAAGGGTCCTTGCAGGCAATATAAGGGTCTTGTGAAGTAACAGAGTAGAGAACTGTATGTATCATTTCTTTACAGCCCGGAATGAATTATTGATCTAGTGGACTGATGGGTGAAATGATGCATGTAACTGCTCTGAAATGTTAGACTGGCTGAATTTGGTTTTACGCTGCTTTTAGCAATATTCCAGCAATATCACGGCGGGGGACACCAGAAATGGGCTTCACACATTGTACCCATGTGAGGAATCAAACTCAGGTCTTCGGCGTGACGAGCGAATTCTTTAACCACTAGGCTACCCCACCGCCCCCTGAAATGTTAGAAACAACCAAACATAATATTGTATGTCCTTCTTTACACTGTGAATTTTATTTCTGTGTCTATTCTCTACACTTGTGTGTACTGGACGCACATTTGTGCGAAGCGAAAAACCCAGCGATTGTGTTGATTGATGTTCATGATGTCAATCACTGGATCGTGAGGCCCAGATTCAATTGTTAACAGATCATCACATAGCTGGAATACTGAATGGAGAATTAAGCATCAAATAACAAACACAACTAATAGATGGTTGTTTGTTTTCAGATTGTGATACCGCCTCTTCAGAAAGGCATATACCCACTCTTCATCTTCTCCGAGGGTCACAGCTCAGACATCAACAATGACGATACGCCCTATCAGGAACAAGGGCGTCTCAGAATCCGTCATTTCCGTGTGGATCGTCATGGAAATGTCCGATCGCCTACAATCGAGTCAGAGGATTTTGTGATATTATGACATTTTCATTGCAATAGTAATGACTGTTAACATTTATTTGATGTGAGCCAGGACCTGCCTTGTGGGATCCTCGTGAGATGAATGTGGCATGATTTTGAATATAGTAGATGTGATTCATGTAGATTGGATCATTCATATTGGATGGGGATATCTGTGATACATTAACAGGGGACTATAACGTGGATATTCTCAGTCTCACTTACTGTATTTGTGTTATTGCTGTGCTTTTTAAATTTTTATGTTCTGAAATAAACTTTGGGTTATAAAAGTTAGAAATGTCTGATAGAAATAAAAAAATAAAGTTTTGTTGTTTTTCCACGTGGTATTAAGATGTTTACTGGGGGAAGCTTTTAAGAAAGTGGGTTGATTGAACAATTGATCGAATGAAACTGTGGGTGTTGATTTCTTTAAATCAGTCTGGTTGTAGACAGAATTGAGAGGGAACAAGGCACCAGCCATTTATTATAGGGATGGGGTCAGACAGAAGCAAGGGATGGTCTTATGAAATATGAGGGTCTCTATGGGAGGTGGAAAAGGGGACATTTTGTGATAAAATGTTTAGTTTGTTTAAATGCATTCTAATTTCTTGGAAAGTATGTTTTGGCTTTACCATTTTTCGTCCTGAAAAAATTTACTGGGATATGGGGAGAGTCATCCCCAAAACATTACAAGCATTAAGGGAGGGTCATTTGTATTTTGTATTTTAGTGTTTGAGTCACCTCCACCCAATCTCCTTGTAATATATGACTGGGCCTTAATGCAAATATTTCCTTTTTAATCTGAGTTGAGAATAAGGCTATTTTCTCTTTTGTGACTTGAAACTTGAGAGTTACTGATGATGTCTGATTTCATGATGATTAAAAAGTTGAAACTGTTTTTTAAAAAGGAATAAATTGTAATCAGTGATGATCCAACAGTGTTAAAAATCTACAATTGTTTCTTTCAAATTCTACTTCTTACCATATTGCTATAGAATTATTCATAATACAAGGTTTTAATACTTTTATAATAATGTTTTATCATTTGTTAGTCATGTGTTAATGCCTGTGATTTGGTTTCCCATTCTTTAGTGATGTTTTACTGGAATCAGCTGTTACCATGGTTACAAAGTGGTTGCATGTATTAATCTTGACATTCTTTAGGATGGCACTTAAAGCATCAATCTTTCATCTTGTCCACTTTGAAACTTTTCTTACTCATGGATGGCTGAAGGTACATATCATTTTCACAGAGTACATTACGTCCTGGATAAGGATTTATGAGATGTATACTTACTGTGTGAATAGTTCAATTTCAGGATGTGTCTCCATGATATTGATCCAATGTGATAGGAATGGAACTGAATGTTTTCCAATTGTAAACTTATATTATTTGTAAATGTGTGTTAGAATGATTTTTCTGTTCACATTGATCATGTAGAAACATACAGTTTCTTGATTGGGGTCTATATGATATGGATTCAGTGTGATGTTCATGGGTATTTGAACTGTGCAATATGACTGTGATAACTTTTTGCTAGATTGATATATCAGATATATCAGATATGAAGTTCACATAGCCAGGTCTCTTTCTTCTGTGTTATCACAGGATCAACTCACTCAGCCGTTACTATGGTGATATATTAGATACTAAGTTCACATAGCCAGGTCTCTATCTTCAGTGTTATCACATGATCAACTCACTCAGCCGTTACTATGGTGATATATTAGATACTAAGTTCACATAGCCAGGTCTCTTTCTTCAGTGTTATCACATGATCAGCTCACTCAGCCGTTACTATGGTGATATATTAGATACTAAGTTCACATAGCCAGGTCTCTATCTTCTGTGTTATCACAGGATCAAGTCACTCAGCCATTACTATGGTGATATATTAGATACTAAGTTCACATAGCCAGGTCTCTTTCTTCAGTGTTATTACATGATCAGCTCACTCAGCCGTTACTATGGTGATATATTAGATACTAAGTTCACATAGCCAGGTCTATATCTTCTGTGTTATTACAGGATCAGCTCACTCAGCCGTTACTATGGTGATATATTAGATACTAAGTTCACATAGCCAGGTCTCTATCTTCTGTGTTATTACAGGATCAGCTCACTCAGCCGTTACTATGGTGATATATTAGATACTAAGTTCACATAGCCAGGTCTCTATCTTCAGTGTTATCACATGATCAGCTCACTCAGCCGTTACTATGGTGATATATTAGATACTAAGTTCACATAGCCAGGTCTCTATCTTCAGTGTTATCACATGATCAGCTCACTCAGCCGTTACTATGGTGATATATTAGATACTAAGTTCACATAGCCAGGTCTCTTTCTTCAGTGTTATCACATGATCAACTCACTCAGCCGTTACTATGGTGATATATTAGATACTAAGTTCACATAGAGCTAAGTTCACATAGCCAGGTCTCTTTCTTCAGTGTTATCACATGATCAACTCACTCAGCCGTTACTATGGTGATATATTAGATACTAAGTTCACATAGCCAGGTCTCTTTCTTCAGTGTTATTACATGATCAACTCACTCAGCCGTTACTATGGTGATATATTAGATACTAAGTTCACATAGCCAGGTCTCTTTCTTCTGTGTGTTATACACATGATCAAGTTCACATAGCCAGGTCTCTTTCTTCACTCAGCTCACTCAGCCGTTACTATGGTGATATATTAGATACTAAGTTCACATAGCCAGGTCTCTATCTTCTGTGTTATCACAGGATCAGCTCACTCAGCCGTTACTATGGTGATATATTAGATACTAAGTTCACATAGCCAGGTCTCTTTCTTCAGTGTTATTACATGATCAGCTCACTCAGCCGTTACTATGGTGATATATTAGATACTAAGTTCACATAGCCAGGTCTCTTTCTTCAGTGTTATTACAGGATCAGCTCACTCAGCCGTTACTATGGTGATATATTAGATACTAAGTTCACATAGCCAGGTCTCTATCTTCAGTGTTATCACATGATCAGCTCACTCAGCCGTTACTATGGTGATATATTAGATACTAAGTTCACATAGCCAGGTCTCTTTCTTCAGTGTTATCACATGATCAGCTCACTCAGCCGTTACTATGGTGATATATTAGATACTAAGTTCACATAGCCAGGTCTCTTTCTTCAGTGTTATCACATGATCAACTCACTCAGCCGTTACTATGGTGATATATTAGATACTAAGTTCACATAGCCAGGTCTCTTTCTTCGCTACTAGTGTTATTACTAAGTTCATCAGCTCACTCAGCCGTTACTATGGTGATATATTAGATACTAAGTTCACATAGCCAGGTCTCTTTCTTCAGTGTTATCACATGATCATCTCACTCAGCCGTTACTATGGTGATATATTAGAGGTCTCTAAGTTCACATACTCACTCAGTCGTTACTATGGTGATCAGTGTACTAAGTTCACATAGATCAACTCACATGGTGGATCAACTCACTCAGCCAAGTCACTCAGCACTATGGTGATATATTAGATACTAAGTTCACATAGCCAGGTCTCTTTCTTCAGTGTTATTACATGATCAGCTCACTCAGCCGTTACTATGGTGATATATTAGATACTAAGTTCACATAGCCAGGTCTCTATCTTCTGTGTTATTACAGGATCAGCTCACTCAGTTGTTACTATGGTGATATATTAGATACTAAGTTCACATAGCCAGGTCTCTATCTTCAGTGTTATCACATGATCACACTCAGCCGTTACTATGGTGATATATTAGATACTAAGTTCACATATAGCCATCTTCAGTGTTTCTGATCAGTGTCATTACTATGATATAGATCAAGTTGTCTCTTTTACTATGGTCACATATCACTCAGATACTAAGTATCACATAGCCAGGTCTCTTTCTTCAGTGTTATCACAGGATCAGCTCACTCAGTCGTTACTATGGTGATATATTAGATACTAAGTTCACATAGGTCTTCCAGGTCTTTCTTCAGTGTTATCACATGATCAGCTCACTCAGCCGTTACTATGGTGATATATTAGATACTAAGTTCACATAGCCAGGTCTCTATCTTCTGTGTTATCACAGGATCAAGTCACTCAGCCATTACTATGGTGATATATTAGATACTAAGTTCACATAGCCAGGTCTCTTTCTTCAGTGTTATCACATGATCAGCTCACTCAGTCGTTACTATGGTGATATATTAGATACTAAGTTCACATAGCCGGGTGTCTTTCTTCAGTGTCATTACAGGATCAGCTCACTCAACCGTTACTATGGTGATATATTAGATACTAAGTTCACATAGCCGGGTGTCTTTCTTCAGTGTCATTACAGGATCAGCTCACTCAACCGTTACTATGGTGATATATTAGATACTAAGTTCATGAATCTTTGTTCAATGTCATGACAGGATCAGCTCACTCAGTCGTTTGTAGAGTGATATATGAGATCCTAAGTTCACATAGTTTGGTCTCTTTCTTCTGTGTTATAACAGGATCAGCTCATTCAGTCATTACTCTGCTGATATATCAGGTACTGTCACATGGCCAGGCCTTTTTGAACAGTGTTATTTGGTAGTCATTTCACTCGGTTCCATCTCCCAGTCATGCTCATGTCCAGTTTTATTATAATGTACAGATTCATGCTGCTCCTTCAATCTCGGAAACTTTTCCTTTGTTTGTGTTAATGGCAGAGAGTTTTAAATGAATAATCATGATAATAGTAAGAGAGTGTCACGGGATTCAACAAATTAGCTGGTCTGGGTGACATGTGCAAATAAATAACAAGAAAAGCTCATGGGGCATACTGAAAATGAGCCACCTTCTACAAGTTACTGCCACCATTCGAGTCACTGGTACTTGTCACAGCCTGGCAATGGAGCATGGTTTTTAAATTATTGTGTTGCAGATTTTTATGTCACAGTGACTATGTTGTGAATGGCAATACATGTAATTCTGCTTTCACACCACAGCTCTATGGCTGATTGTGATGAGGATTTGATGTCATAGTGATTCAGTTGTGTTTGGCAACAATTTTGCTTTCACACCACAGCTCTATGGCAGATTATGAAGAGCATTTGATGTCATAGTCACTGTGTTGTGTTCGGCAACAATTCTACTGTCACACCACAGCTCTATGGCTAATTATGATGAGTCAAAATAATTCTTCATACATTTGGCGTGTAAAAAGTAAAACTGCTGCGTTTTGAATAATGACTTTGAAAACTAAAGCTAACAGTAACCTGCTGCTGTGGTCAAGAGATTTGTTATATCATTGTATCCGATGATGTGACATTGGTCAGCAAATCATTGTGATGAAATTTCACTACGGCAATGTGTCCTGGGAGGTACAATTTGATCTCACCCAAGCCATATCTCCTGTGGAAGCAAGTTTTGGAGGAAAATTCACTGTAATACTGTCAACATCCTCAATTTATTCCTGATTTGAGTAGCACAGAGTTTTGCCTCTAAGAATACTTAAAAGCACTATTTCTCACCACACTTCTCTAAAACATGAATAATGCATTTCTCTCAATAATACTAACTATCAGCCCCCAGGGAAGCTTCCATATAATTTATTCCAAAAACAATTACGTATTTAGATTACAATATTAAATTAAAAAGTTCGAAGAATTAATGCAATGTTGACTCTAGAGCCATCTAATGGGCGAACATTATTTCAAGCAAATCCCATAGAATTATGTCCCTTGGAATGCTCTTTACTAATATCCTACGCACAGCTTGTGATTGAAACCAGTTTGGAAATCACTGACAACACTGCGTGTGACAGTTTTCGTTTCGCAATTGTTTACATTCTATATATTGCATGTGTTCTCTGTTTGGAAGCTGTTCGCCTCAAAGTTTCAATTATTGATTTCAGGCAAGTTGTAAGGGATAATAAGTCTTTTATTGCCTTAATAGGAAGCTAAAGTGAGTGCATATGTCCCAATATATATGATATAGGCCAAAATATTGTCGGAAATGTGTGACATTGTGCCATAAACTATTCTGTTCTGGTGTGACGGCAGCTTTAGTCTGACGGAATATCAGTACACTTTGTCATGTCAATTAGTCTCTGGTTGAGTTTAACTAGGTTTTCAAATATTATTTGTGACAGCTATGTCGTGACATTACTCCTTGTTAACCAATGGCCCCTGGCTGACCAATTCTTGCCCGTCTCGTGACATTTGTTTAGTCTTGGACGTCCCTGGATAAAACTTTGGCCTTTGCAATTATGTAAACATTTGTACTGTTAAACAAGGTTACTGACTTTACTTTGTGTATGGCAATATTGAACAATGTAATGTTTCAATCAAAATATACATATGTTTTATATCATGGTCTTGACATTTTGATCATGGAACAATGATATCCAGTAAATTGACTGCTGTCCTTACTGTTTGGAGATTATCTAAAGGTGTGTCTCTCTGGACAGGAAAGTTCAAAGCATTAAAGTTGGGAGTTTTGTAGGGTTAGTTTGCTTTTTCATTGTATGTTTACTTTGCTATTTTGATTCCAAATGGATATTTCTGTATGATTTTACTGGTGATGAGAGTGAGTGAGTGAGTGTGTGAGTGTGTAAGTGAGTGAGTGAGTGAGCAAGTTACATTTTACCCTACTATGAACATTTATTCAGCACTAAAATGAATGGGATACTAGAAATGAGAAATGGGCTTCCACATTGTACGGTTCAGTACTCATGTAGGGTCAGTCTTTGTTTATTAACCTGAATACAGAATGGGACGGCTTTAGTACTTTGAAATCATGTGCAATTCTGTGACCAATATGTTTCTCGAATCAGTAATGGGGAAACATTTGCAAACAGTTTTCTTTCATCCACATTTCCAAAAAGGGTGTTACTGGCAGCACAAATTGAAGAACAGAACTAAATTGTACTTAGCTCGAATTGTACCTTTTGAAATATCAAAACTGGTATGTATCCAAATTCTGTACCTCACAGAAAGATGGCACAATAATCATGATATATGTCTATGACTTAACAAAAGCTCAAGATAGTCCCAGTGCTATGATTTTTGCAGAACTTGTCGAAGGAGTATAATATGTTTTCCTATTTTCTTGTTTTACACCCAGATGCATGCAACAAAGGTAATATTGTTTGTTTGATTCTCTGTTTGCTCTAATGATGTTTGTGGGTTTGCCAGCCCCGTACACATGCTTGTGTGTTTCACCAAGGACCTGGGCCCCGTTCATCAAAGCGTTTGTAGCGCTACAATAGTTGTAATCACTACAATCCAATTGTAACTTTAACTTACAATCACTCCACCGTTCCTCAAAGCAATTGTAAGTTACAATAGTTGTAAGTTACAATCACTTCCGTAAGTCGCTTATGACCATCTGTAACTTACTTACAATCGATTGTTGTGTATGAACAAGATGGCGGCGTTTGTTGTAATTATTAATTTTGACGGCTCAAATCACATTATATATTATGTAAACAAAAAAAATTTATTGACAAGTCACTCACTTCTCGGCAATACCTTCCCACAGTCTCCCCTTGACTTTCGCCGTCAGAGTTGCTGAGAAAGCTCCAAATAAGGCGAGTCATGACGTGTGACCTCCTGACAAGAATTTCAAGCTCACTTGCTTGAAAGTTAGACCTCCTACTCTTCTTTTCCACGGACATTATCTCAGGCTTAGTTTACTTCGTCTGCTTGAAAGGGGAAGCAACTCTCACTAATGTAAACGCATTATTTCTAACTTTAGCTCAAAAGATCACGATTGTAATTTATGATCGAAAGATTTACAATCACAAGACTTACAATTCCCTTACAATAGCTTGGAGGAACGACAATAAATTGTTATTAACGATAATTGTAAAGTTGATCGTAGGACGTACAACTGATTGTAGCTACGATCGCTTGAGGAACGGGGCCCTGATTGTCAAAGATATCACTTCAGGTTTTGCAGGTGCATCGGTCTGACACACAGTGATGTCAAGCGTTACAGTCATTCATTCACTAACAGGTCTCCTGTTTCTGTTATTGTTTTCACAATAGGAATGGGTTATTTAGTGGTTGAAGCTTTTGCTCTTCACGCCGAAGACCCAGGTTCAATTCCCCAGGTGGGAACAATGTTTGAAACCCATTTCTGGTGTCCCCTGCCGTGATATTGCTGGAATATTGCTTAAAGCGGCGTAAAAGTAAACTAACTCTCTTCAAGAGCAACACAGTAGAAGGTCATCTTGTGTATCAACTGAAAAATAACTTGCATAAAACACAACTAATTCAGGTGAAGATAACAAACCTCACAAATATCACATCTGACTTTACTATGTATAATATATGAAATTTGTTTTGATTTTCTGTTGTCTCTTTGTAGCTAAATATAAAATGGTGTCAATTATGTAATGGCAAGGTCAACAGCATGTTGTTTCATTCTCTGATTTCACTTGAAATTTGATAATCCAGTTGATAATCCTTTTACCACTCTGCATGTTGTAAGCCATCAGTCAAACCTCATTGGATGACAAACAGTTCCCAATAGCCAATCAAAACTATCCTTACATAAACAAACTGACATTGTTTTGATTATGGTGGTGATAATCATCCCATTGTTTTGATTATGGTGGTGATAATCATCCCATTGTTTTGATTGATTATATGCTTTTTTATTTATATTTAAATATTCTAATCAAAAGTGAAGTTTTAAATTAAGTTTGTTATAACTTGTCTGAAGGTCAACTATGTAATATTTGTTGTAGTTTTATGTACATGTCCTTAACTATGTCAACTGGCAAATGGCACATTTAGAAAATATTTTATGTTGATTATTATATTTGTGTGTGGTAATCTTAAATTGTTCATGTCATGAATTGAATAAATGACATTTATGTAATGTGGTCTGTATATATTGATAGGTTATACCATGTTGATTTTCACAGATGTGAACCAATGAAAATCCTACCATAGGTTTGGCAGGATAGTTAATAAAATGTCAAAACTTACACAGATTTTGCGTTTTTTGTTGTGCATCTTGTTATCAACTCATGCAATGGCAGGACATATGTTCTCAAGCTTGAAATGAGCTTGACTTGCCTTTGCAAGTGTTTGTGATTAGTGGTGGATACACTCACCATTTCAGGAGCACCTCATCTTGTCACTATTTGATAGTGATTCAGCCACATGCTTGATGATATGGTCAGAATGGACCATATATGTTTCATATGTTTTCATATGTAACATTTTTGTATTTATATTCAAATAAGCACTTCTGAAAGACTATTTTAATGTTTACGTAATTTGACTTATGTAGATATAGCTTGTGGTTCTTTTATTACTGTAATTTTCCACTAAGTTAATGATGTTCTTTACATTACCAGCAGTAAGACAGTTAAAAGTCCAGCTTAAGGTAGGTATCTTGCTCTTGATGATTGTCATTGCAGTTTGTTTATTTTGTGTTGTTTTTTAGCTGCAAAGTCTGGGCGGTGGGGTAGCCCAGTGGTTTAAGCGTTCGCTTGTCATACAGACGACCCAGGTTTGATTCCCCACATGGGTACAATATGTGAAGCCCTTTTCTGGTGTCCCCCACCGTGATGTTGCTGGAATATTGCTAAGAGCTGGGTAACACTAAACTCACTCAGATGTGTGGAAAGACAAAGACACTGCTGGACCAAGTCACGTCACTGACCACTGGATCCTTTTGGGCACCTCTTGAGACCAGCTTAGGTTGTTGGGGACCTATTCTTAGTATTCTAACCCTGAATTCCCACTGGATAAAACAACAGACCAATGATAGTTTGGTGATGATATCATTGACCATTATGTATAATTACACCCAGGTGGAGTGGATGTGTGCTCATTGTATCAGACGTATGTAAGCCTGGCCCAGATAAAGTTGGGCTGTGATACAATTATTTGGATGTGATCATTGTTTCAACAGGTACCAGTCGAATTTCCCCACCTACAAAATGCCCCAGCAAAAATTTGGTGATTTGGCCCCAGGTCAAAATGCCACAATTTCTTGAAAATGATTAATTATATTCTATAATACCCATCAAAACAATCTAGAGCTTTTGTTAATCTTGTCAAAAGGGCTACTGTGAGGATATGAACTGGCTATGAAAACATGTTCACTACTTGACATTCAATGTTATGTTATATTGAGGAAATGTCACATGTCAACTAGAGCGATGTGAATGTATGAGCATTTCAACTCCTTGTATAAATTGATTTTGGACCAAAGATAAGTCATTAATTGGCTCAAAGTGACAAGATGGCCATCAAGTGCAGAACATGTTTATTGGTAGTAAGTGAAGGCCAAGAGGCAATCTCATGTGAAAGCTGAACCACAGGCAAATTGTAGCGCAAATTGGGTTGCGCAACAAAGAGAAAATGACCAGTTTTCCCACATGCGAAGAATGTTCATTTTCTCTTTGTTGCGCAATCCTATTTGCGCTACAATTTGCCTGTGGCTGGACACACAGACTCTGTGGAACTAGAGTGTCCAAGGAGAAGTATGAGGAAGTGGACAGTGGTCTCCTACACCCTTTACATGCACCATCTACAAAGAGAAGTCAAGGAAAATCAGTTGCATTGACCACTCAGAGTGCAGTTTTGTAAAACTTTTATA